TTGCTTTTCTTCTCTATGTTCTAGAGCAGTGGTTCTCACAGCATCAGTATCACCCGAGAAGCTTTTTAAAAATGCAAATACAGGGCGCCTGGGTGGTTCAGTTGGTTAAGCGACTGCCTTCGGCTCAGGTCATGATCCTGGAGTCCCGGGATCGAGTCCCGCATCGGGCTCCCTGCTGAGCAGGGAGTCTGCTTCTCCCTCTGACCCTCCCCCCTCTCATGTGCTCTCTCTCTCTTTCTCTCTGTCTCAAAAAAAAAAAAAATCTTTAAAAAAAATAAATAAAAATGCAAATACAAAAAAAAAATTTTAATAAATAAAATTAATTAAAATTTCAATTTAAAAAGGGCACCTGGGTGGCACAGTCAGTTAAGTATCCAACTCTTGATTTCGGTTCAGGTCATGATCCCAGGGTTGTGAGATCGAGTCCTGCTTCAGGCCCCGCCCCGGGCCTGGAGCCTGCTTAGGATTCTCTCTTGCCCTCTGCCCCTCCCCCCTCTCTAAAATTAAATAAATAGATAAATAAAATTAAAAATAAAAATGCAAATACTCAGGCCACACCCCAGGCCTCCGCACTTGAACACTGTGGGCCAGGGCCCAGCACTCTGGGTTTTAAGAAGCCTTTGTGGTGCTTCCTAGGTGGCCGAAGTTTGAGAACCACTGTTCTCACAAAATAGGATTTTATATAAAGGGCAGTGAGCATGTTCCTACAGCAAATATGGGGAATTCAAGCAACAGCTCAATAAAAGCTGCAAACATAAAACCAAACTATAATTTAGCAAGGGAGCAAAGACAATATGCAAGAGAGCTAAGATAGCATAGACCAGGCACCTGGCTTTGGTGATCCCTCTTTGCTGAGTCAAGGATTGACCCCAACATATTCCACACTATACCAGTTTTAAAATACTTAGCAAAAGGCCACATGCAATAGTTCTGGATGTTCGTGGGCAGCTCAAATTTGGAATGTATTCCTTCTGTCCCTTTCCCCCATTATCTGAGGTTGAAATCCTGAAACCATCTTTGATACCTATATCTCCCCATTATCCCCATATCAGTTGCCACATCCTATAGACACAACCTCTCCTTCCTCAATAATTCATTCATCAAATATTGATTATCTATAAGGTGGTATAAATTCATCAGGGAACATGGTAGACACAATATCCTTGCCTTCATGGGGCTTACTTTCTCACTGTGGAGACAACAATAAGATAAGTAAAATATATGGTATGTTAGACAGTGATATACTAAGGAGAAAAATAGAGGAGGGCAGGAGGTACAATGCTTTGGAGAGGGACACCTGGGTGGCTCAGTTGGTTAAGTGTCTGCCTTCGGCTCAAGTTACGATCCCGGGGTCCTGGGATCGAGCCCTGCAACGGGCTCCCTGCTCATCTCAGAGTTAACTATTTTATTCAGTTAAGATTATAAACATATTGCAGTCTAACACAGACAAAAGTCTAACAGAGAAAAATCTGTTATATTTTATGCTAACTAATAATGCTAAGCAGCTAAAAGATTAAAAGTGGATACAAAAATAAAATGTTTATTATGATTAACGGCCACCAAAAGTTTTCTATTTAGGGCGCCTGGGTGGCTCAGTTGGTTAAGCGACTGCCTTCGGCTCAGGTCATGATCCTGGAGTCCCTGGATCGAGTCCCGCATCGGGCTCCCTGCTCGGCAGGGAGTCTGCGTCTCCCTCTGACCCTCCCCCCTCTCATGTGCTCTCTCTCATTCTCTCTCTCTCAAATAAATAAATAAAAAATCTTTAAAAAAAAAGAAAGTTTTCTATTTAGGAAGATATCCAGCTAAATTTGGAAGACTTTTAAAATGCTGGACCTCAAACCTCAGGAAAAGTGATCCAGTTAAATATTTTAAGTGTTTATTTTTATTGGTAAGATTTGATGCGATCAATGCTAATCTCTTTATGGAAAGGTGAATCAGACACACTAAAAATTCTACCTTCTCCTTTGTGGTGTTTTAAAACAGTCTTACTCTTGCATAATTTATAATAAGAATCTAGAAACACTGAGTCAGATTTTCCCAATGTCTATCATTAAAATGTGGAGGCGGAGAGTGGATTTGTATGGCCCAAATCATTTTTTTAAGGAAGTATGAGTTATTAACTTAGATATCCTGCCACCTTCTCTCTGAAGAAGCTAATACTGGTATCCAAATTCCAAATATGAAAAAAAGAGGAAAAAAGAATCTGAGAATCAAACTCAGATTTAATTCAAAATGAAATCTTAGCAACCATTCTTTATTTCAAGGCCTTAATGATGAATCTCAGTTTTATAATAAAAAATTATATCAACAGTTGAATGACTCCCAGCGATGTAATTTGTGCTTTTGAAAACCAGATTAAATATTAGACTGTCATTTCCTATAGGTGATAGGTATTATATAATCTGGAGGAAATCAGTAAGTGCAAGATAAATATGAATTAATTTTAAATATTCTAATTGAATATTATTTCTACATCATCAACATCATTTGAATCATTTTTAGCGAAACATTTGCACTATAGACTCTCATTAAAACAGGCTTCTTTTCTAACAGGAGAAAGTGGCTCTTGAAAGTCCAGTCTAGATACAATTAGAGAATTCAGTGCAAGTGAAAGTAAAAAATGAACCAGCTCTGTGTCCTAATCAGGAGATTTAGAGGCAGAAGTGAGATCAGTCATCACAATGAAGGCATAGAATGATAAAGCTGAGAATATATCAGAAACACTGACAGGAAAATCAGACAGGAAACAGACTTTATAGACCAACTACCCATCACTGCTAACAGACTCCTCTTATTCTTTCCTTTAAAAGAAAATAACCTAATCTATCATATTGAGCATAGAAAAGATGGAGAAGAGAAATCCCTAGCAGTACAAGATGATATACAATAAAATAGTATATAGATTCAATTTGGAAAAACAATCTTAAAATTCCATGACAGCTTTTGAACCCACATGCCTAAGTGTGCTTCCCCCCAGAAGTAGGTCCTGAGTCAAAGATTCAAGTCCACGCAGTTTATTTGGGAGTCTCAGAAAACGCTGCTCAGGGAGTGCGAACGTGATGCACAGGAAGCAAAAGCAGCCTACAAGGGATGTAGAAATAGAACTCAGAACTGTCTCACCCATCAAATGGGGAAGCTAGGGTGTTCATCAGCCAGTGGTTAAGACTGTTGTGTGTGGGGGTGGGGGAGTGTTAATTCCTTGGCACTTGATGCCAGCCTTGAGCAGGAGCCAAGAGGTTTCCCAGCCCAGAAAGAAAACCTTCGGGCAAAAGGAGACCTTCAGGTGAGGAAGACCTACAGTTCTTCAGGCAGGTACCAGCAGTCAGCAGGCCTCCGCCCCTAAGACAGTAAGGTCCCAGAGGTAGACAGGGCATTAACATCATTGTCTACACTTTATCCTCCAAAGGAACGCCATTCCCATCTATGGTCATATCTGTGATTGGTGTTTGATATCAGTCTTCTCTTCCTTTTCTCAACTATCCAACAGGGCATATATTTCACATTCAAGCCATCTACCCCTAAGCTATAAAGTATACAATTTTAGCTTACCTAGGTCTGTATTTCTCTCCTTGAGTCTACTTTATATTCTTCATAAATTAAGACTCTAAGTCTACTCCTGTATTGTAAATTCTTTAATGTCAATCTTGCTCTTAATCAAGTTGTAAAAAAAAAATTACTCCTTTGGTAATAGACTTTATGATCCATAAGACATCCAAGAAAAATGGTGGTCCATGTGGTAAGAGCTCAGGTCACACTAGCATCCAAGGAAGACTTGATGGTATTATAGCAGAAGTAATGTTTGCAGTTCCAAAAGTACACATTGTCACAAAACAATGGGTAGGGGAGGGCGAGTAGGGGAAGCAGATCTAAAACTTAATTGGGAAGGAACATTTTCAAAGAAAAGTGACTTCACTTGCTCTAAACAAATATAGTCTTAAAAGTAGTCCAATCTAACCATTATTTTTCTCTGGCTGCAGGGACAGTTCCATAATATACTAGTAACTTCCTTCTAGGCCTGAAAGTTTCCTCTTTGGCTTCAGTGTTTATATAGTCAAAGTGAGATGATAATGTGCCTAGGTAAATTTTACCTAAAACGACCTTGACTGATGCAAGCACTTGATAAATATTATGCTTCATAATTTCAAAAAAAAATCAATTCAGGGAATTTAGGAAATAGGCTGAAATTAATGGGAGTGTAGCACTACCCAACAGATACACTGAACACTGAACAAATATTGCCTGGTTAAAATTAAATTGTTTAGGTTTGAGAATGCCTAACCTAGTTTTAATAAAGTTCTTGTTTTTAAGACAAATAAAAATGAAAAAATAGACAAGTACACATCACTGAAACTATCTGGACATTTAGAGGCCAATTTCTTGGCTACTCTTCTCTATGAACACTTACAAGCATCTGACAGAGCCACTGTTGAATGAGATTGCTGTCTAGTGATAGGTTTTATATTTGGGTAAGGATCTGGCCACACTACCAAACCCACCATGCCCTTGAAACAAACCATTCATCATAGAACACAGTATTTTAAAACTCAGACATCTCTCATTACAGTAAATGACATATTTAAAATCTGTATCTTTAGGATCTCAATCAGTGCTTCTCAAACAATCTGTGATGAAGAACCACTTTTAAATTAATATTTCCAGTCTATCACATACTGATACTTTTGCAAAATATATTAAAAATGAATTAAGAAAATGAGTTTTTTTTAATGTACAAAATGGAAGCCCAGTTTATTATTATTATTATTATTAGATTCAATAGGCATAAAATTACTGTCAAATTTCTTTAAAAGTTTCTCAAGGCTTACTCAAAATTTCAGTACTTATCTTGTCACAGGCCAGTAACAGTTGCTGGGGCAGAACTGACCTGGGTCCACACTTTGAGTAGCACTGATCTAAAATAACCGTGTGCAAAAAAAAAAATAAAAACAAAACAAAATAAAATAAAATGTTGGGCACGTATTCACTCAAAATATATACTTTACCTCTGACATTCTTTCCAAATCCCAAAGAAGAAACTTTTTTGTCCACTTGTGCACTATTGTTTGACTTCTCCTTCATAACGTCATCATCACTAACAATATCAGCAGAAAATTTTTTCTTTTTCTTTTTCTTGTGTCGAGGAGGAAGCTTTTTTGGAAAAGTAAACATTGGGAATATCACAAGAAACATTGCAACGGCACAAAGGAGGAATCCACTCCACCTAAAAAATTGGGAAATGTGAATGGCATTTATGGCTCTTGCATTATGAATGAGAACAAATTAGCAAAGTAGAAGCTCATGGTAATAAAATTCTCCAGGGAAAACTTCTGTAAAGCAAAACAATTGTAAAGCAGTAGGAAGTTGGACAAACTAAGAAAACACAGGACTCCTCCCTATGTTATAAATGAGAAATCTGCCTGATAATCATACTAGTATTATAATGAATGAATATTATAATTAGCAACCAGATTAGAATTTTATTGAAATATTTGTTAGCTCTGCTATAATGTGCATTTCATAATAAATCAAAAAATAAAAAATAAAATAAATAAATAACTCATAAATATAATAGAAAAATAATATAGACTCTATAGCATGCTTTATGGACCAAAATAGACACATCTTTCTTAAAAGAAAACCATTCATATCTCATGTGGAATGTATTTTAAATTGCTAATGGCATTCAAATATTTTTCTGCAAGCACTTAAGAATATATTGACCCTCTTAGCTAGTCCTTACAACACTTAACCGTGAGGGCCACCAAAGACATTTATATTTGATTGTTGCCTTCAAGAACTTACAACCTATGGGTAAGGGAGCTAAAAATACAAGAAACAATCTCCAAGAAATGCAAGCATGTATACAATTAAGTGTCAGATGATGTGGTACAGACTATGAATGCTATAAAAGCTCAGATAAAGGAAATGTGTGTCAGAAAGCTTCCTAGGAGAAGCAGACCGTGAGCTATGTTGAACTGAGAGTCTGTCTTTGAACTCATCTGAGGTTGCCAAGCTGCAGAGACTAAGAAGTAAATATAGAGAATAGTACTCAAATTCTAGTCTGGCATTAGAGCCATGTGTTAAGGCCTTGGGCTTCTTGTCTGCATAATTCCTCAAGGGCAATCTCTCAGTCCCCTTTCAATCCTTTCTTAGCAAGTAGAGGCCCCTGATCCTACAGAACAGGGTTGCCACTTTCTTACTAGGACTCCTCAGCTCTAATCTTTGTCCTTCAAGCTTGCAAATTCTTGATGCTCAGACTCTGTCCTCTGTCTCAGCACATTCGCATCAGCTGTAACCTGAACGCAAGCAGCATTCTAAGCATCAATGTTGAATTCAACCCATTAGGAATACAGATCAATTGCAAAGTGAAAATTCATTTTTAAAAAGATAGTGCTTCTATTAAAGTACTGTTATCAGCTGTTAAAAGTCACAGTTTCACTGACAGAATAATTCCATGAACCAGTTATTAATAATCCAGTATGCTATTTTCAAAGATACTTAGAGTTATATCAAATAAAGATTTTTAAACAATTGGAAAAAAAGGCTTTATTTTGAGAAGATTGCTCAGGGCAGACTTCTAGCAATTTCAATTATTCAGTATAACCTAGAACCCAGTGACTGACATACTCAAAAAATTTCCTGAATAAATAAACTGAATGAGATAGATTTTTTTTTTTTAATTCTTTAAATGTCTGCAGAGAACATAGCTACGATCATATCTGGCCCCTGTAGTACCTGGCTGCTTATGAGGCCTTTACTAATAAACTGCCCCTGCTTATCTGCCACCTTTGAATCTCTTTCTACAATTCTGCCTTCAAGCCCCTTGGACTCCTTCAGTTCCAAAAGCAGAACAGGACAAACAGTGCAATATAAGGGACAGTTCTTGAGCTGTGGTTTCAGACAAATATGGTTTTTTTGTCTTGACTTTATGACCTACTGGCTCTAAGATCCTGGGGAAATTATTTCACTTTCCCAAACCAACCTTCTCATCTGAAAGGGGAATAATGCTAACTGCTTTTTGGAGTCATCAAAATTAATAAGACAATGTATATAATGGACCTGAAAAAATGCCTGCCCCCAAATCAACAATCACTTCATGGTAGCTAGTTTTGTTTTTGTTTTTTTTGTAGATCTGTACTCAGGTCCTCCCCACACCTCCACTCAGAGCCATCAACTTAAAATTATATGCAAACATTAAAGATACACTTACAGTAGTCCATAGTAAGAGCAAATAACAGAAGGAGGGGAAGAATTAGAGCAAATAAACAAAAATAATATAAAAATAGTATAAAAGTTTGGGGGTTTTTCAAAGCTGAGCAAACTGGCCCACATTCTTCAGTGGTCTTCAGTAGCATTGACAAAATGCATGATATAATGATGAGGCCAAAAAAGACCCCGAGAGAAGCTGAGGAAGGCAGAAAAGTGCATATTAGGGGTGCCTGGGTGGCTCAGTCGGTTAAGCATCTGCCTTCAGCTCAGGTCATGGTCCCCGGGTCCTGGGATCAAGTCCCGCGTCGGGCTCCCCACTCAGCGGGGAGTCTGCTTCTCCCTCTGCCCTGCCCCCGCCCCCAGTCTTGTGAGCTCTCTCTCGCTCTCTCTTAAATAAATAAATAAAATCTTTAAAAAAAAAAAGAAAGTGTGAGTTATATATTAGGAAAAGACCCATCAGTAAGAGCTAAAATTGAAAAACCAGGGTCCCTAAGTCCCTTTTACAAACCACCCCTCAGAGATTATTCATAAAGTAGGGCCAGTTAAGTATATTGACTAAGAGATTTGCCCTGTACTCAGTTTTTTATCCCAGCTCTCACTGCCTCTGAGGCTTTGGGCAAGTTATTCAAATCACAGGACATCAATTTCCTCATCTGTAAAATGGGCATAATATTAGTGAGTACATATGGTTGTTATATATGTAGGCTTAAACATATGAAGTTCAAACAAAAATGTTTGTGAAGCTCTTAGTAGAATGCTTGACACACAGTAAGCACCCAATAAACATTAGCATTATTCATTTCTTCATTCCTTTCTTCAATCTTTCAGCACATGTTTATTGAAAAATCCATCATTACTGCTAGGCATTGGATTAAATAGCATTGTATCAAATAACTCTGTCTTTGGTAAAGGTAGAAGTCTGTTACAAACAGAGCTACTCAATAAATAAAATTCAATTTTTAATATTGGACCATTAAAACAGATTAACAGAACATAGATTACATAGATTATGTAGATTAATCATAGATTAATAGATTAAATTCAAAGGACTTAATAATAGCTAACACATACTAGATAGCAAGAACTATTTAAAGCCCCACATGTATAGACTCATTTATTCCTCACAACAACCCTATGAAGTAGATACTGTAATTACTTCCATTTTATAGATTCTTTTAAAACCAACAACTGAGGCACAGAGAAGTTAAGTAACTTCCCCCAGGGTCACACAGCTATTAGGTGGCAGACAGAGATTTAAACCCTGGACAGTATGGCTTTGGGGTCTGTACTCTTAATTACCCTACTTTGCAACCAATTAGATAGATGTCTAGAAAACTTTTAAAAGTCAGCATAAAGTACTTGTAAGCCTAAAAGCTCCTGTCTCCTTCCTTCTCCCTGCCCCCAAGTTGGTCCTCCTCCCCTTTCTCCCTCCCTCTAGATGTTCCCTTATTGCCATGCTCTTTTCATGGACACCTATATAGAACACAGAATGTACACTGAATGTTCATATACATATTGTCTTTTCTACTGTCTTGTCTAATCTTCTTTTCTGAGAATAAAAAAATCCTTACTCTTATTTACTTCAGAAATGCAAAGAAAACAGTGGTTGAGGCCAAAAATTTCACTAGTGGTCAAGAACTTAAAATTCCTGTGTTATTCCCCTAATGCTGACAAGGAAACTTCCTTTTTTACGATTTGAAAATTCTACCAGCCCAGGTTCATCTAAATCTTAGCACATCCATCTTCAAAGAGCATTACTTATGAAAATAAACGTTATATAACTTGATTAATATTTCTTAACTGCTTTGAAAATAGATAGCGTTAAGCATTATTCCCATGTACTTCAGAGTTATGAGATTATCTTATAATGAAATGCAGAGATAACACAAGTTATCTAAGAAACTCTTAGAAACTCCTTCTAAAGTAATTAGTGGAAACTAATTTCTAATACTGAACTATTCTCTTTGTTATAAAATGAACATGTCTTATCAATGTATACCTATTACTAATCCATGTTAAATGAATTCAGGAAGCCAATACTTTTCAGTTAGTGCTTGCTATCATGAAGAAATAACTCATGTTCAAGTTGAGGATTATGAAGAACTGAAACACAGCCCTGGCTATGCGGATAAATAACCTAACATCCAAAGTTGGAGTTCTCATTCTAAGTCCGAAAAATTACTTATTTAGCAAGACAATTAAGGGCTAGCAAGTGAGAGAACAGCTAAATCTACAGCACTCCATTGGAAAAACAATTACCAAGTGAAAAGATTCACTAAGAGTGTGACGATGGAAAAAAGGCGGGGAGGGACTGGAGTTTTGGGCAGTCAGGGAGGGTTGACAAAGCAGAAATGCTAATCTAATAAGGACGTGGGAAGAAAATATTTTTTAAAAGGCACAGAAAAGATAATGAAAGCTAGGACTCGAGCACACAGGAAAGCCCCAACACAGCCACCCTCTCCTCCTCCACTCTGCTATTTATAGCAAAAAGCGCATCAACCCTAAAGAAGGTGGATTAAGCCGATGCTCCCAAGCCCTCAGCATTAGTCCCCCGTTGCTGCTATAACAAACTACACCACACTTAGTGGCTTAAAACAACACAAATGTGTTATCTTATAGCTCTGGAGGTCAGAAATCTCAAGTGGGTTGGCAAGGTTGCATTCCTTCCGGAGGCTCTAGGGAAGAACCTATTTTCTTGGGTTTCCTAGATTCTAGAGTCCCGAGTGTGTTCCTTGGTTCATGATACCTTCTTCCATCCCCAAAGTATGTCACTTCAACCTCTGCTTCAATCACCATATCTCTTTCTTACTCTGACCCTCCAGCCTCCCTCTTTCCCTAATAGGGACACTTGTGATTATACGGGGCCCATTCCTGTCCGACATCAGGAAAACCTTCCTATCTCAAGATCCTTAACTTAAACACATCTGCAAAGTCTCTTCTGCCATGTAAGCCAACACATCCGTAGGTTCTGGAGCTTAGGACATGGATATCTCTGGGGGATTACTATTCTGCCTTCCACTCCCTTCTAGGCAACTTTTAGCTGTTTTTCATATTCCCATGGGGGAAATTTTTATTTTAACTACAAGGGTACTACGACTTGAACTATCATTAATAACAAACGAAATGAAAAATGTAGTAAACAATTCTTACCAGTTTCCAATGAAACGAGGGTCATTCTGATCAAGGTTAACAGGATTTCTGGGATCGACATAAAAACCAATAAGAAGTCCACCTAATAAATATCCCACTGCAGGACCAAGTGCTCCCATGACATACATGATGGCTGAGAAGACACAAGGGGAAACGTGAAATAGAGAAACATGGTCCTTAAGTTTCAAGTGTGGTCTAATTTCAGTCATACCACGTATATATGTCACAGTTAAACCCAGGGAACAGCATCCAAAACCAAAGAACTTTAGAGATGTGTCTATATTTACATTTGGGTTTCAAATCATGCCCTTTATTCAGCTGCTGCCTATTGTCCTTTTAGAACATTAGAATCAAGTCTGGACAGCTTTTCAGTTGTTGTTGTTGTTATTGTTTTAAAGATTTTATTTATTTATTTGACAGAGAGAGACACAGCCAGAGAGAGAACACAAGCAGGGGGAGTGGGAGAGGAAGAAGCAGGCTTCCCGCCGAGCAGGGAGCCCGATGTGGGACTCGATCCCAGGACCCTGGGACCATGACCTGAGCCAAAGGCAGACGCTTAACGACTGAGCTACCCACGCGCTCCAACTTTTGTTTTTTAATAGAAGTGCTCAGGTCCCACCCCAGACCCACTAATTTAAATTTCTGAAAGTGCTAGTTAATGAGCAGTCACTGGATAACCCAGAGAAGATAAAAGGTTGTTTCAAGATTAAAAAATAAATAAATAAAAGGTCATCTCAAGATAAGAAGAAAATGAAAAAAAAGTAGATGTCACTTGTCACAGCTGGAAGATTCCAACAGAATGACGGAACTCAAGGCCAGGTTCTGCCATGAAGCTGGATTTAATCGAGTTGGCAAAGATGCTTAAGCACCTCAAATCATGAATATTTTTCAAATCACCACTTTGGAGTCAAAGAAGAGCTCACAATGCATTTGGTTTATTGCTAATTGAGGAATCTTACGTAAAGATTAATAAATCTCCTTAAATGGCATCAGTGAAAAGATCGAAACAGATAGCACCAACCCACAGCTGCATTAGAAAATAATTTTTTAAAGCACATGACCAAAGCAGGAGGGGAAGGGGTTGTATCAATAGATCAGAAAGTGTGTCATTCTATCCAAAAAAAAAAAAAAATTGGCCATCAAAATGGGCTTATAGCAAAAAATAACAATAAATTCATTGTCATTCCTTTATACTATTTTCACTGCTGTGATTTCAAATAAAAAAATAATTTGTCAAATCTTAATTTTGAGGTAGGATATGAAATTCCTTGAAAGTCATAGAAAAATCTGGAGTGTGGCTAACACTCCAAATCCACTTTTTTTTTTCCTGTTATTTGGAGAAAAATCTATAAACACTGTTAAGATGCTCCTGTGTTCAAGGCATGATAAACTCAGGTATAACATATTTCTCATTTCTACTGCCATCATGCACTTAAACCACTGAATAAATACCTGGTTTGCCATACCCTTTAAATAGTACTATATTTACCAAAGAGCAAATTGAACTAATCAGAATAACTTCACCTTAACTTTATCTTCTGCACCTAAATAAACTTTGAATAAACTTGTACCTCCTGTGACTTATAACTACAGACAGTAATTTAACACTTGCTCTCACTTTTCACACTATTTCAAAAGAGAAAGCGCACCGTTTATTTATTTTACAGAATCATCTGCTTGTAACAATAAGACACTAGCTGCTCCGACTTCTCCATCTGTGTTTGGAAATGGAGAATGGGAGGAAGCATAGCCACAAGTAATTGTTGGCATTCTTTTGGAAGCACGCTTTCTGGCATTCTTTTGGAAGCATGCTCTTAATAAAACAAAATCAGAGTTTTGATAAATATCTCGTTACCCTCTCCATTTATAGCCTGAAACAGAACTCAAGAAGAAACAGTGCTTTTTCAGTTCCAGGTTTTCCCATATGCATATGGAGATAAAATTTATGTTTACACCTCCAGGCAAACCATTTACAACTTAAAACTGTAATGAGGCCAAAATGTGACATGAATCATCTTCCCAAAATAGTTCTGGCATGAAAGAGACTGTCTTACAAACACAGACAGGGAAAAGGGTACTTCCGCCATACTGTTTATGCCTGGGGTACTTGAGGGCAGTGTCTCGGAAGGCCCAGCAGCAGCGTGCAGCATGGGTATTGGCAAGACCTCGCAATTACACAGTGAATGGAAAACCAGTTAAGTCACACTCACCCAAAGACCTTAACTACTTTATAAAATACAGAGAAAGCTTTTAAAATGCAGCTATGCAATCAGAAGAAAAATATTTGTAATATATAGCAAACACTGAGGCCAACTGAATCATTCTCATAAATAGGTATGTACATACATTTATATAACTGTACATTGACGTTATACTATGTAACTATACTACATATGCTATATCTACAAATCAGTAAGTATGTAACACTAGGGATGGAGAGAGAGAATAACTCGTTGACACAGTCCCATTTAGTAAATAAATCATTGTGGCCACTGAGCTAACATTTATTAATTGATTAACCAATGGCACTCATTCAGAGCTTAACAGAGGGGCAAATTGTTGATGCAAATTCATATCCTCACTCTCCCAGTCCAAAACTCCCAATCACACACACACACACACACACACACACTGCCTAAAGAAAGTCTAAACTACTCTATCTGGAGTTCAAGGGTGGGACAAGTTGGCCTCCTGCCACCATTTCTTTTTTTTTTTTTTTTCCATTTTAATCTTAAAACCTACCGCCTACACTCACGACTCCACACTGACTGACTCTCAAAACAGGCCTGGGCAGAGCCACCTCCCTTCCCTTGAGGACCCACAGTGCCCCCAGGCCTTCCTATCTGTGTGAATCCTGCCCCTTCTTCAAGGCCCAACCAAGTCCAGCACTACCCATCCTCCCCTGAGTGGTCTCTGTCTCTTCAGAATCCCTGTAGACGACATATTGTCTATTCCAGTGGCCTGCACACCTTTACATCATGCATCCCTATCAGTAAAAGGATTTAAACATTTACCCAGTGTCCTTTTCTGTATAAATAATGTATATTTCCCACCAGCCTCATTCTCACAGCTCACACCTAATATGTCAGTAAATCCTGCTGGTTCTACCACCAAATCATAACCAATATGCCCCTCCCTCTCCATGCCTCTACCTTGGCCCAAGCCACCAAGGTCAATCATCTGGAAAATTGCTCCAGGCCTTCCAACCCATATCCCTGCTTCTGCCCTTCCTTCCCTACAATGCATTTTCAACTGGACAGCCCTAACAATCTCTAGAAACATGAGCCACATCATGTCACTTCTTGGTTCACACCCTCCAGTGGCTTCCCACCTCCCTCGCAATAAAAGCCCAAATCCTTTTATGTGGCTACAAGGACCTGCCCCCACACTAGCCCCACCCCCTAGGATCTCTCGGCTCTGTCTCCTAACCTTCTCCTGGTTCACCCAGCTCCAGTCAAACTGACCTTCTCCCTCTTCCTCACCCTGCCAGGCACATTCCCACCTGACGGTGTTAGCACTTGCTCTGTGTGGGTGTGGGTGTGGTTGTGTAATGCTCTTCCCCCAGGTAGCCTCATGGTGCACTCCCTTCCTTCCTCCAGGTAGTTAATCAAATAGTCCCTTCTCACTGAGGCCTTACTTGGCCATCCTATCTAAAAATTTAAAACTTTTTCCCCAATTCTTCCCACTCTTTCTCTGCTTTCTTTTTCTCTCCTCAGCGCACCCAACACACTCTATATTTCCTTTGTTCATCTTGTGTATCACCTGTCCTCCTCAACAAGAACATGAGCTCCAGGAGGGCAGGGATCTTGCCAGTGGTGTTCACTGACGAAGTAGTGTAGAACTAGGCACTCGACCCACCTCACTCCCATTATCCATTACCTTCAGCACTCCCAGTCAGTCCCGGAACGTGCTGCCGTGATTAACAACAGGTATCAGTGATAAAAGTCGTCTTCAGTGTATATCAGCTCTGGAGATATTAGCTAATCACTATCGAGTGGGTAGTTTCATGTTTTTTGACCGTGTGCCATCAGAACGGAGTACTCTGCATTGGTTTTCTGTCATGACGAGGAGCTTACACTGGGAAGTCCAGGCTATCCAATGAACTAGCGATAGAAATAGAACTAGAAGTTCCAAGTTTCAAGAGTGGCCTAATTCCAGTCATACCACATATATATGTCACAGTTAAACCCAGTTAACAGCATCCAAAAACAAAGAACTTTAGAGATTGTATCTGTATTTATATTTGGGACTCAAATCATGCCCTTTATTTAGCCACTGCTGCTGTCTTTTAAGAACATCAGACTCATCTGGAGAATTTTCCTCTTGCACCCCAAAGGACCGTCCTACATCTCCCCTGGATTGTACGCAATTCAGCTTCATACCCCTTTCAGAGAACCCTGGACCATTTCATTCATTTGAAATTGAGTATGCCTTGCTCTTCACTTCTACTTCTTCTTCAAATGTTTATATCTTATCTTTCGAAGTAGCTCTTTATCCTGGACAGCAGGAGCCATATCAGATACAGTACTATGCAGTGGTTAAATCCCAGACTACAAATTCCTGGGTTCGAATCCCTGCTTCCATTATGCGTATAAAGTGCTTAGCATATAACAAACATGAAGAAATATTAACTTGCATTTTTTACATGTTGAATGATCACCTATTCATTCTCTAACAAGTATTATTAAGTATTAATTTTGTATAGGCCAAATACATGCATTATTTAACAGAAGGCATATTTATCTTTATATTACCTTAATAAATTATCTTTTCTGGAGTCACTGTTTTTGACCCAGGAGTTTTCCTCACACAAAGGCCAGCATAGACTATCTTCCCGAAGCTGAGAATGTGCCTGTGGCTATTTTCTTTTTTTTAACCTTTAGGTTTTTTTCTAATGATTACAAAATATAATATGAATTCCTTGTAGAAATAACTCTCAAGAGCACAAAAACAATCCTTACCATCCAGATAATGATGGTAACAATAGTAATAAATACTTTTTACTATTCATATACTGTATAAGTTTTTTAAGTAGCTGGAATTACACAGTAGTTATTTTTCTGTAATATGTTTTCCCATAATACCTCAAACATTTCTTACATCAATAAATTCTTCTGGAACATTCGTTATGGC